CTCCTTTAAATATATATAAATATAGATAACATTATAAATATAATATTGTGGAATTAAGTTTGTAAATATCTTTAAATACAGGTATGTATTTTTTAAATACATATTAAACCTATTATGCTAATATAAAAAATGAATTTTCTACATTCTAATCAGGACACACCAAGTTGATACAGTATTTTCATAATGTTGATTTAATTATATATTCATTTTTGTTTGTTACATAAGAGATACAAAAAATAAATTGTGTGAAGAGGATTATTTACTAATCAAGATTTGTGTGTGTGCCTCTTCATTCATGAAAGTATTATATGTGTATTAATAAGATTACTGTATAGTGTATAGCAGTTTTAATTCAATCACTATATTTGTATAGTTATGTTTGTTCTTGCTATTATATAATTTTAAATAAATAAACTTAATAAAAAATTTAAAAAAATTATTATTGTTCGGTTTAGGCCTAATTATAGAGCCTTGACACATTTTACAAATGTTAATGTCATGTTTTTTTTTTCCTAGAGTACATATCAGGCCTATATATGTCTATATATGTCTACATTGTCACAATTATTATTGATCAATATATTCAGTCTTTTACTGATTAAGATACCTTGTTTTAACAATACTTGTTAAGCATATTTTTATAAACGAATACGAAAACTCCTGTAAAAAAGTTTTAATATTATTGACAAATTGAGAGCAAAATTATATAATTTAGTAATAAAAAATCTTACTTGGAAAAATCGCTACTCTTCTCTATAATATGTTCAAATTCTGCAAAGCTCAGAGCACCATCATCATCTAAATCAGCTTCGTCGAGAATGTATTGAAGAAGTTGCTGCATGTCATTGTCGTTCAATCTTTGAGGCGCAGTTAATCTATCTATCACTTGTCTCAGATCTCCTACGCCAAGCATGTCATCGCCATCAAAATCTACATCAATGAAACATTGTCAGTAAAATAAAGATACAATGTTACTTGCATTGCAAATAAAACTGGCTAGAAATATCAGGTTTACCAAATATCCTAAATGCATGTTCAGCTTTCACTGCTTTTGGAGCAGCATCACTAAATACAGACATCATGTCTAAGAAATCTTCAAAGGTACAATCGCCATCTTGACTAGAACTGAAGACCTTACAGATTCTATCTCCAAAAGGATTTACTTTCAATTCGGGATATTGCAAAATTTTAGACATTGGGAGTTTTGCATTTCTATTATGTCCAACTTTTTCTGGTGCAAGTGCCTTAAATTGCTGATGTGCACTATAACAAGAAAAGAAAATACAATATTATATATGTAATTCTTCAATTAAATATACAATAATGAATAATATAAGAAATATATGCTCATAATAAACATAAATGTTTATTTAAGCAAATATTTAACTAAATAGAAAGCCTCACTAATAGTGTACTCACTATAAGACTTCCTTTTTTGTAAAGTATGTTAAATCCTGTTAATAAACAGATAATAGTTTTTAATTAATTATATTTAAATAATATTATATTTAATTAA